GACTGGAATTGAACATGAAATGCAAACAAACCTCAATGTTTTTGGAGCAAGATATAGAGTTACACCGTGTTTAGGAAGAGATCTAGTTTTTACTGCAAGGCTGAGGCTGCACAGGGTGATGAATGGTAGCAAGTGGAGAGAATACTTCATCCACCACCAGGAGCAATAGCGGAGCCAGAGGGTGGCCAAGGGTGGTCTTGGCCACCCTTGATTAATCTTTGGACACCCCGATAAAAAAAAAAAAAAAAAAAAACTACTTTTAAGCAACATAAAAACTAGAAAGCATAATTTCATCAATTGATAAGTGTGACACACACACACAAAAAATACATTTATATATAGAGTGTGTGTGTGTGTGTGTGTGTGTGGGGGGGGGCTGTCAAACCAGCCACTAGGGAGCACCAGTTTGTGCATCTCTGGATCTGGTCCCAAGCCCAGGTAAGTGGTGAGGGTTGTGTCAGGAACAGCATCCGATGTAAGACACTTTTGCCAAAACCATAATGCGAGTTCATCAAAGCCAAACTACACCGATCGGTCGAGGCCCAGGTTAACAACGACCGACACCGGTGCTGTTGACAAACAGGCAGAAATTGTGCTCCTGTTAGTCGAAGACCACGAGGAGGGAAACGTGTCAGTAGACGGAGGAGAAGAGGAAAGTCAAGAATGTAGGAGTGAGGGTTTCAACTCTAAATGTGGGGACAATGACAGGCAAAGGAAGAGAGCTGGCTGACATGATGCTGAGAAGGAAGGTAGATGTTTTGTGTGTCCAAGAGAACAAGTGGAAGGGCAGCAAGGCTCGCAGCATTGGAGCAGGGTTCAAACTGTTTTACCATGGTGTGGACAGAAAGAGAGAAGGAGTAGGGGTGGTCCTGAAGGAGGAGTTGGCAAAGAATGTAGTAGAGGTGAAAAGAGTGTCAGATAGGGTGATGTGTCTGAAGGTAGAAGTAGAAGGTCTGATGCTAAATGTTGTCAGTGATTATGCTCCACAGGTTGGATGTGATGTGGAGGAGAAAGATACATTTTGTAAAGATCTGGATGAAGTGATGGAGAGAATTCCCAGGGAGGAGAGGGTGGTGATATATATCCAACTTATTTTACAAGTTATCATGCTCACAACAGGGACGAACATTTATCGTGGCAGCCATCTTGGATTTTGATATTGCAACCCAGTTTTCGAAAGGAGCCTTTCTTTCGCCTAGATGTAGCCACATACCAAAAAGGAAGTCGGCACCTCACTTGTTTTTCCAAGTTTTACTCACAGCAGCACGGACGGAGAGACGAAGGGTATTTCCACTTCCCCGTCTTCGCTTTGCAACAAAGAGACAATTAACAATCAAGGGTGAGCCGATTGCAGTTTTCTGTCCGATCACAGATTTCTAAAAAGTCAGACCTGCCGATACCGATTTTGTTTTATAAGCGGCACTGTCAGGTGCTATAAGTTCACAATGCACCTTCAATTTTCCATCTTATTTATTGAAAAACAGACCCTTGAACAATATCTTAGAAACAACACAAACTTGTTGTAACTGGCCCCTTATCGGTGCACGCCTATTAACAATCACCTCACCCTAAGTCTTCAGGACAGTCTTTAGTATCGTGAAGTAATTCAAAAACTATTTTTCTCTCGAGCAATTTCCATTTCATTCATTAGATCTTTCAATGGACACTTGTGGTCGCGAGGAAACAAAGTGAACTATGAATCAAGAGAACATGAACCTGTCTAACCTGCAATTCGATTACCAAAACTCTCTGATCCTCATGTCGAAACCTCAGAAATATATCTGAAGAAGGACACGAGTCGGTCAGGAGTAGAGAAATAAAGAACATATTCAGTAGCAGAGCACTGACTTGTCACTTAGACGTAGATAAACCTTATATTTAGCTTCACTGGTGACATGCGGTTTGAAAGACCTTCTATTGTGTCATTTCAAGCATCTATTCTACCTGCATTAATAAAAGTCATATTAGTTCTGAACCTTAGAGTATTAGACTCCCCCGATCTCAAACCACCACCCAGTCGGTGTGATGCATCTCAGACATTTAAAGAGCGTGGACCTGCAGTCTGTCGGGTCATAACGACTTCCCTCCCCTACTCTTTGGCGAGATACAATCATAGGCTGTCAGAGATTTCACCTGGAGCCAGCTCAACTTTTTCCAACTTTGTGTGAGACGTTTGCAGCAATAGAAGGCGCCTGCTCGCTCTCCCCTCTTGACAGGTGAGAATTATACTGTGTCCTTGTCATCTGCAGAGACGCACACACACAGTATTCTCCAAGCAGAGCTATTTCAGACTCTGGAAAGACATCTTTCGATATCGCGCATCTCCATCTGGTGAAATCTGTAATGCCGTTCAAAAGTATTATGTCGACAGACCACCGCGATTGATATTGACAGGAAGGAAAATAAAGCACGGGATGGATTTTAGCTTCAGGGGCTTCGTTTCAAGCCAGAGATGACGGCAGCGTTGTTCCTTTTTTGCCGAATGAACCTTGGCCTGATTTCAATCAGTGACTTATTGGGGAGTGAAAATTGGAAATGGACTGTACTTATAGCACATTTCTATCAAGTCAAGATACTTAAAGCTCTTTACACGACAGTCTGTGCCCTCATTCACCCACCCCAACCATTTTTAATAATAATAATAATACATTTTATTTGTATAGCGCTTTTCTACGTACTCCAAGACGCTTTACAGGAGTTCAAAAAATATAAAATCAGCAATGCACCACAACATAAAAACACAAAGAAAGGGCAAAAATAAACATTAAACACATTTTAAACAGGTGGTTTTGAGTTCTTTCTTAAAAGTGGAGAGCAGCAGGCACGAGGTTGGGGCAGCGAGTTCCAGAGGGTGGGGGCGGCGATGGAGAAGGCTCGGTGACTGTATTCAGGCCCAAAAAATTCAATTCAATTCAAAAATACTTTATTAATCCCAGAGGGAAATTATTTGTTGTTGTAACTCGTTATCCTCGTTTCATTAAGAGATGTTATAGATGCTGACGCTGTAGACAGGAAGGATCTCTTGTAGAGGTCCATCCCACAGTGGATCCTAAGAAACCGGCTGCAGATGCCGTCCGATCCGTCCACCCAGCAGATGCTGAAAATCCGACCCGACCCGGCCGCAGCAATCATTTCTGAACCCCACCCGAACCGAAGAATTAGCAGTAATTACAGGTCTGAAAACGAAAAAACCCGACATTTTTAATTGCTTTGACTGCTTATAGCTATTAACGGTCGGCAGATGTGCACGTCTGAGTAAAGGGGGCAGAAGATCGGAGCTGAAGGGGTGTTTGTCCTTTCATGGCCGTCAAAGCGCATTAAATCCCTGCTTCTGCTGCATTCTGCATTATTCAGACACGGACCCCGCTCTGACATGTCTGCAGGATATTTTGTGATCTCACCTGTTTGGGTTGTCGGCCGCGTGCGTTCGCCGAGTGCAGTGGATGAATGAACGTCTATTTGGGCTTTGATGGATCGCTGGCAGTAGTCCATCTGAAGCTTAACTGAACTTGTTTTTACCTTTTTCAAGGCCGGTCAGTGTGCGATCAAATGGCAGCACGCGGCTGGTGATTGTATGGCAAGCTATGTTGCCATATAATTGGATCGTCAGCCGTGCGCGTCCACTGACGCAATCAAAAACTCGACACCGGCCCGGCCCACACGTTAAGCACGTTATTATGGCCCGGCCCTAATCTGGGTCGGGCCGGGCTCAGGTTAGAAATGACAGCTCTAGCTCCGTCTCCCCAGGTTAGGAGCTTGGTCCTACAGGGGAGAGACAGAATGTTGGGATTGGAGGAGCGGAGGGAACGAGAAGGAGTGTGGTGATGGAGTAGGTCGGTCAGGTATGGAGGGCTTTGAATGTGATGAAGAGGATCTTGAAATGGATGCGCTGAATGACAGGGAGTCAATGGAGGTTCTGCAGGACAGGTGTGATATGTTCACGGGAGCAGGTGTGGGTGAGAAGGCGGGCTGCAGCGCTTTGAATATATTGCAGTTTGTTGAGAGGTTTGGATGGTGAACCGTACAAAATGCTAATGCAATAGTCGATTCTGGATGTGACAAAGGCATGGATTAGGATTTCAGCAGTGGAGAAAGTGAGTGATGGGAGGAGTCCTGCTATGTTTTGGAGATGGAAATGGTAAATGGACTGAACTTATCATATATAGCGCTTTTCTACCAAGACACTCAAAGCGCTTCATCCATTCATTTAACACTCTACTAGATCTGTACAAAGACTAATCAGTGCTTTAGATCACATTCATACATCGATGGGACACACAATGGAGGCAATGAGGGGTTCAGTGTCTTGCCCAGGGACACTTCGGCAGGTGACTGCTGGTGGAATCAAACCCCCAACTCTTGCATTGGAGGACGACTGCTCTAACCACTCAGACACAGCCGCCCAAATGGAAGAATGCAGTCCGAGTTATCCGTTTGACGTGTGATTTGAATGAAAGAGTGGAGTCGAGAATAATACCAAGATTTCGAATGAGCGGTGATGGAGTGAGAGTGATGCTGTCAAAGTTGAGGCAGAAGTTTTGAATGGACTTGGTAACACTGTTTGGACCAATGAGGAGTATGTCAATTTGTCAGTGTTTAATTTGAGAAAATTATGCTTCATCCAGATTTTGATGTCAGTTAAGCAATGGGTGAGGGTGGAATGGATATTGGGGTTTATGGATGTAGTAGAAATGTAAATCTGTATGTCATCAGCATAGCAGTGAAAATGGAGGCCATGATGATGGATGATATTACCAAGGGGGAGGATGTAAAGGATGAAAAGGAGAGGACCAAGCACTGAACCTTGGGGAACACCCTGGGATAGAGGGGTTATGGAGGAGGAGCAGCAGTTGATATGAATAGACTGTTGCCGGTTTGTAAGGTAGGACTGAAACCAGGACAGAACGGAGCCAGTGATGTTCAGGTTGGACTTGAGACGGGACAGGGACAGTATTTTTATCCATAAAATAAAAAACAAACGCAGACGGCCATCGTCTTACCTGATCTGACCAAGGAAGAAGAGCGTGGACACTCGCACATCTCGCAGAAAGGCAGCAGGTCACTGTTGGTGTAAGTGCAGGCCTCGCAGTTCCACATCACCTCAGGATCAGGTTCTGGGAACTTCTGGGAGGTCACGATAGAGGCCGAGCCAATCCCTGTCTTTGTTGACCTATGCATCCCTCCCAGGCGAGACCTGCAGCTCTGGCTGGACTTGGGTGTCCGTAGCCTTTTCAGCTGCGGTGAGAAGTCCTGCTCGGGTGTCACAGGTTCTTGAGAGCAGGAGGTCTCTCTGTCCTTTACTTCCGACTTCTCTCCACTGCCAGCTTGTTCAGCAGCCATCTCTGAGCAGATGGAGGGAGATGTTTCCTCATCGTCCGTCCTCCTTCTCTTTGTCTTCTCCTTGCTGGCGCTCGGGGAGAAGAACGAGCGGATGTCGTGCTGCTTCTCTTTTTCAAACTAAGAAAAATGACAAGCTTCATTTACAACAATGGTAACAAGCAACTGCCCAAAAAAATCTAACAACAATAAACTCTGAAACTTACATGAGTGAAGAACATGTCGTCGTCCCCCACAGTTCCTGGGTTTGCCTCCAGTGGTAGCACCATCTCACTTGGTGTCCACACGTTAGCAAAGTTGAGGAACTCCCACTTGTCCTTGTCGCCCTCGTCAGCCTTCAGGTACTCCTTCCTGCCGTTCAGGGTGCTGCCAGTAACAGTTTCCTGAAGGACACATGACCTTAAGCCTTACCTTTCTAGCAAAGATGAAAGAAAGTACCGCATACGTGCACATTATACACATGGCGACAAACTCTTATACTGCAATCTATAGCAATGGCCCGGACAAGCAAAGACCTTGTATAACCTTTGACCTTGAAGGGTGATGAAAAGTTTACACATCACACATTCTAGGAGTACAAATAAGTATAAAGTTATGCTAAATTATTTTGAGCAGATCACAAATCATGGACAAGAAAAAGAGAATGTTTACGAGCATAAGTAGACTATCCATGGGTTCCCAACCCTGGTCCTTGAGGAACACCATCCTGCATGTTTTAGTTGTTTCTCTGCTCTGACACACATGATTTTAATTAATGGGTAATTAACAGGCTTAACAACAAGTGTGTTGGAGCAGAGAAACAACTAAAACTTGCAGGATGGTGTTCCTCAAGGACCAGTGTTGGGAACCCCTGAATAATACCACAATACGTCTGTCTTTTGACGGGCGTATAAAACAAGTCAACACATGTATTCATTTCCATAGTACAAGTTCATCAGTTATGTTACAATAATGCTTAATTAGTTCTAGCATGTTGCCCTATCGGGGCCCACACCTTCCTGTTGAGCATGGACCACATGACGGTGTCAAAGGTGCCCTTGGCAATAAGGTAGTGGACGTTGACAGAAGAAGTCTGCCCAATGCGGTGGGCACGATCTTCAGCCTGCTTGATCTGTCCAGGGTTCCAGTAAAGCTCGGCAAACACCACATGGCTGGCAGCGGTGAAGGTCAAACCCTGGAGAGGAAACGCACAAATCAACAACGGAACCTGAAGAAAAAAAAGCAATTCAGTCGCCTAAAATAGAACATTGAGGCCCATGTTTAATCTGACGCTCTGCATGCATACCATCAGCAGAATACAGAGAGTAAGAGACTCACACATCTGTTAGTTGTTCAGGAATAATTCAAAGAAAAACAACATTTTCATCCATTGAAGTAGAAAAACAAAAGTCAGAGGTATAGAAGTTTTTATGGAAGCACCTGACCAGCTGCTTGAATGCTGAGAATAGCCACCCGGGTTTCTGGGTCACTCTGGAATTTATGGACCAGCTGGATTCTTTCAGACGATGGCACGCTGCCATCAATTCTGATGTAACCTGCCTGTCAGGACAGAAACAAGACGCAGCTAAATTAGATTTTCACTTGTGAATTTAGTTGCAGGGGGGAAAGCTGCAGCGCAACGCTAAAGTAGCCAACGATTCAAGGTTCAAGGTTCTTTATTGCAATTGGCATCACATGTGGTACACGAGGTGGAACGAAATCATGTACACAAGGTACACCCCAAAATAACAAATATATAAAGTATAAAAAGAAACAGTATACAAGGATCTAGGATATATGCCAAAGACTAATAATGTAAAAATAATACGTTATATTGCTCTCAATGAAAACATTTTATGCACTACATTTAATTACTGGCAGGTATATCTTTGTGTGTATCAATAATAGCAAACTATTTTTCTTATATTTACCAGATGGAACACATTTACTTATTTTTGATTAAAGAAGCTACATTTGAACTCAAAGTATTTCATTAGCATACAAGCTAGTGTTAGCAATTAGTTGTTTATCATAGTTATAAACTTTTTACACAAAGTCAAGTGAAGAACAGCAGAAGTGTTGTTGTAGGCTTTAGCTACATTCTGAACCCAACATGTCTCATATACCGAACCCTTTGATTTATAAAGCACTTAAAAACAGCAACAAGGCCGACGACAGTACCGCACAGCAAAAACAAAACAAACGAGAGACGTGGCAAAAAATACACATATCCAATTCAATCATGTCGATTCAGTTTAGTTCTTCAGCTCCAAGTCACAAGAGAAGTGTCTCAGGACTGATCAGAAACATTCAAATATAAAATAATAATTTAACAGAAACATTCATCTTTAAAATAATAATTTAACAGAAACATTCAAATATAAAATAATAATTGAACAGAAACATTCATGTATAAAATAATAATTTAACAGAAACATTCAAATATAAAATAATAATTGAACAGAAACATTAATGTATAAAATAATAATTGAACAGAAACATTCATGTATAAAATAATAATTTAACAGAAACATTCATGTATAAAATAATAATTGAACAGAAACATTCATGTATAAAATAATAATTTAACAGAAACATTCATGTATAAAATAATAATTGAACAGAAACATTCAAATATAAAATAATAATTTAACAGAAACATTCAAATATAAAATAATAATTGAACAGAAACATTCAAATATAAAATAATAATTGAACAGAAACATTAATGTATAAAATAATAATTGAACAGAAACATTCATCTATAAAATAATAATTGATCAGAAACATTCATGTATAAAATAATAATTTAACAGAAACATTCATGTATAAAATAATAATTTAACAGAAACATTCATCTATAAAATAATAATTTAACAGAAACATTCATGTATAAAATAATAATTTAACAGAAACATTCATGTATAAAATAATAATTGAACAGAAACATTCATGTATAAAATAATAATTGAACAGAAACATTCATGTATAAAATAATAATTTAACAGAAACATTCATGTATAAAATAATAATTGAACAGAAACATTCATGTATAAAATAATAATTTAACAGAAACATTCAA